TGGCAAGCTGGACGATGAGAACTGGCGACTTTGTAGTACAACTTCAGCGCGCGGAGCAATCTGTGCAGCTAGAAGCTGAGGACTGGCGACTTCGTAGTACAACTAGAGTTGTACTGGCGAACAGTGTAGTACGCGGAGGAGTCATCTCTCGCTGCTCATTCATCTCTCGCTGCTGAGTCAGCTCTCGCTATAGCCATCTCTCACGGCTGAGTCATCTCTCGCGACTGAGTCATCTCTCGCTGCTGAGTCATCTCTCGCGGCGTGCACGTTCAGTTCATACTGATAGTATTTGGTTGCAGTTATGCAGGACAGGACATTCAACTGCTGGTCAAGACACCACTCATCATACACCACTCATCATTCATCACTTGTCATACACCCCTCATCATACAAGACTCATCATACATAGTCTCAGAGTTCAAAACAGATTTTACATCCAAATTCGGATTCCATTCAGTCCGATGTGTGATATGCAAGGTTTGCCGCCACTGAAGAATGCCACGGTGGGATGTGTGCCGATGTGGACCGCATCCTTGGCAAGTCGTGGTGGCCGGATGTGTGTCATCTCTCGCAGGGGTCACACACACACCTTACACACGTGGAATCCCGTGGGTCAAAAGTCCGGAGCGCGTGCGTTTGACTGGAGGACGCACATGTTGGAGAGAACGTGGACACTCCTATAGGTCAATTTCTTCTTATAGGAAACTTCCGCCGCCGGCTTGCCCGGGAACTACTTGTACATGCTAGACCCAGTTCTAATTAGAGCATTGATTAAAAGTTCACTCTCCGACTAAGGCAATCCGGTAAAGGATGCTCTCATGCGTGAGACAACGTGGTGAAACATCATCTCACTGCGGGTCAGAAGATGGACTTTATCTCAACACTCGTAAGCTGTAAGGCGTACCAGTTATGGTAGCTGTTCAAAGTCTTGTCATCAATAATGCCTATACCAAATCGCTCCGTATCATCATGCCAACCATTTTCCATCCAATTGCGAAGCTCCATATGATTGAGCCAATAGTTCTCGGCCCATGGATCAGTGCGCTGCCATTGTACCCCTGGAAAATCAAAAGGTTCCAATGGACGATCGTCTGTACCATGTACTGTAGGCTGCCCAGTTACGGGAGCATGAGAAGACGATGAAGATGGAGCTTGTGATGGCAAAGGTGGTGGCGGTACATTGGATAAATGCCATGGCCTCGTCTCATAAGGACAGTCTCGATGGTGTCCCTTTCCCTTTCCTTTTACGGAAGGTTGTAGTCGAGTATAGAGCTCGCTGAGAGGAGGCGGCTTTGGTGTAAGATCAAAATCGCTTGGTTTGGTGTGCGCCGGAATTCCACTGGCTGAATTGGGTGGAACTTTCGGTGGAGGTGGTATAGGTGGTTGACGTTGTGCCACAGGCGAAAGGGTGGATGTGATGGCGCTGGTAAAGGTGGTGGTACCCTTGGATCTAGCCCAACGGGCAATGCGGTTGGCGGTGGATAAGCTGGTGGCTTTGGGATTTGTGGTTTGGCTGTTGGAGGTTGTGGTGTAAGTGGAGGACCAAGGAGGTCATCCAGCCTTGGTGTTTTCCGCTCCAGTCTGACTGCCTTGGCTCGTGCTTTCGGTGCAGTTGGATGGAGGGGCGTCTTCTTTGGCTGGCGCAGCCGTGCTTCTGAGAGTTTTGGCATCAGCTGAAAGATCTACCCCCCCCACCCCCTAGTTTTGCTGTTGGGCGTTCTCCGCAGAAGGGGCACTCAACCTCTATGTTGGGCTGGATCAGCCCTTGGATCCTGGGATAATGAGAGCACGGCCCGAAGCGGGCCCACTTGGAGCAGGGGCAGGAATTTGAGGGATCACCGTTTCAGCTTTGAGCAGCCCTTCCAACCCTGGTGGGTTACGTGGCGGGGCCGGAGCGGCCGTTCGGATGACACTCTCTAGTGGCTTCTTTGGGATCTCGAACTGTTGCAGAAGGGTGGTCGGATCGACCTCAAAAGCAGCGGCGACCGTTTGCACTGTTTCGGCGCTCAAATCTCCCATGATGAGTGTGCTAACAATGTGTCTCGTGCTGCGGCGAGGCGTGCTCCGGTATCAACTTCATCATCGACTGGGAAAGGAGGAATGTCGGGTAAATCTTCCCCCGTGAAATCTTCCACAGCTGTCGGTCTCGGGGGTGTCATGAACTCCTTCTTCTTATGTTGATGTGTGACAACATATGCTTCAGCGTGGGGGAGAACCTCCTGTTGAAGATGATTGCAAAACCATGTCCTGCTTGGAACGAAGGAGGCTCGCCATCAGTCACCTGGCCATCCCATGCTTGGAGTGAGAGGGCTTGCTCTTCGGTAGCCTGACTACACAGGATGGAGATCCCTTTCCGGACCGACTCTTCGTGGGTGGCTTGAAGGAAATCGTCAATCCATTCTCTACAAATCCGTCCATGTCCATCATCTCTGGGGGGAGAACGCAACTGCGAGATATAAATTCTGAGAGCAGGGATGTCAACGTCAACCTTCTCCTGAGCTCGGCTAGCCGTAGCGACTCCAGTGACCCGACCCAAAAACGCGACCCATCTTGGTGGACTTTCCCCATTCTGGAGGGACTTGAATCTGATTAGTGAGATGCATGGGCCTTGGAGAAGCCTGCCTTCTGCTTGATGTTGGATCTGAGACTGGGGCCCTGCTGATGAAGCACGTGCCTTGGGCTGGCTAGTGGCAGCTCTACGCTTAGGACGGCTACTGCGGACTTGAGGAGAGACTCCCTGTTGATCTTCAAGGTGGCCTTCAACTCCTGAGGAGGGTTCCTCCGCCTCCGGGTTGCTCCCTTCACTCTCCCAGGTAACCTTGCGTTTGCTACGTACCGAGCTACCAACATCCATCAGGTGATGCTTGCATAGAGGG